AGCACTGCAGCTACCAAGGCCGGAGTAGACAAACGAAAGTCCGAATAATGGACCCGAGTATGAATCATAAAGAGAACTCAGCATACTGCAGGGACCCCCCTGCAATGTGACGCTGAACGAATAGACGCATTATTGATCCTTCTGCGGCTCGGCTTGGCTTGCCGGCGGTGCCGAAGCTGAGGAAGACGAGTCCGCCAGAGACCATCACTACACGTGCGTCAGCAATGCACACAGGCTTAGGGTTTGGGGTACTTCAACATGCCTGGCATGTGTGGTGTTGGGGTTTTCAGCACTGAGGGGTTTTTGCGTGGTTCGAGTTGGAATTATTGTTCAGGAGGTTCGATTCGGTGGGCATCTGCACTTGTCAATCCGCAAGCCCTTTGTTTGGTCTACAAGTCGGGCTTTGCCTTGCTGCAACCTATCATTCTTTGCAAGCAGTTTCAGTTTCTTGTCTAACATTTGTGAAACTCCCCGGGGCAACCAAATAGAGTTCAGCATGTTTTACACCGGCTGCCTCGTGGTGCGCTATTGCAGGGGGATCAGACCGCCACATCGTTGCAGGCGCAAAATTGGCGCTGATGGCACCCGAACAGCGGGCAGCAGCCTCGGATCATACCGCTGGCTTTTCCCGTTCCGGAGAAGAATGCAAGTCGCACCAACTCTACAGGAAGAGGTGTTGAAGCAGTTCAGCGGCGGGGACATCGCAACGTGGTGTGATAGTTGCATGCAGCATCGGCGCTCACGGCTTCTTACACGGCTTCGGCATTGTTTGATTCTGACTCTCGAATCGAGGCGTTTTGCTTACTTGGGCAGCCAAACAGTAGGTAGGATGCTCATCGCACACAAGCCTAATTTGCGCCCGGTCTGGAATGCCCTGGTTGAAGTGTAGGTGCTTTGTTTGGTCTTCCAGGTAGTCGGCCGCAGCGCATATCGTGTCCTTGGCGAAGTCGCTGAGCTTGTGGAGGTACTGTGCCATTTAGCAGAGCAGTCCGACGGAGAGGTTGTGAGAGCAGTTTCGGCATCACATCCGCAGACTGGGTGTCCTGACGGTGTCCTGCACAGAACGCCAGGATCACTGCAAGCTACGCAGAATATAACCACTGTATCATCCTTTCCCCCATAATATTTAACGGGGGCGGACCCCCGCTCAATAACAAGTCGGACAGTCTTCTCATGTTTAGGGAGATTTTTTATTTCAATTGTCATATTTCGGCAATTAGTCGCAATAGTGCTCAATTCATTAGTAAGAATAACAATAGCAATAGGAATAGCAATAATTACGAGTAACTAGGACTGAAGTCACAGTAAGAATTAGCGCAGCAAGACACAGAAAGACAGACAAACAGACAGAGAGAAGCGACCATGCTGCGCTTGGAGCTTGAGAATGAGGCCGCTTGCACAGGCAGGTTTCAAGGGTGTTTTGGAGCCCTAAAACCCTCCCCCCAATTCAGAATAGGTGCTAAAGGGCAGGGATGATTTCGGGACGTTACGGCCCAATGTGTTTTTAGCATTAGGGGGGTGTGTTGAATGAAAGGGGGAAGCGATCAACCACTCTCTCTTGTAAGACTGCTGGTCTTTGATCACATTGGAATTCGCCACTTCTTGCAGGTGATGAAGACGGCCATTGATCTGTCGGAGAAATTGGCAGCAAGCGTGGAGAGGGCCAGCGAGGAATGGTGGAAGCGCAAGACTGGAACGGAGACCAAGGCAGGGGTGCATGATGGTGCTATTCACAAGTCACAAATGCCCATGGTAATAATGACAACGAGCCACGCTGGAATCGCAGCTGAAATGCCGAAGCAACGGCAATAGAAGGACGGAAGGAAGACTGTTTCTCAGACTGGTTTCCTACTGTTCTAAGATGAGTGGTGCGGTGTATCAGCCCTCTTAATCCGAGTGCCAGGGGGCGTGCTTCTCCATGAACTTCCGCCACACCCGCTTAGGGATGAAGGGCCTGCCGGTCGCCCACGTTGATGCAACAAGTGCCACGAGCTCAGACAATCCCAGAAGGATCCTTAAACCCAAAGCAAGTGCACAACACATTTCAGCAACTTTCGAGCCCGCGATTCGAGTTTGTGCTCACCAGTTCAATGATGCAATGAGCAGTGCTGAAAAGGGATGTGCGGTGACTCCAAGGTGAGTGAGTGGTTCAAGGAGGGTGGCGCCTTTCCTTCTTCCGCCCTCAAAGGATTTGAGGCAAAGCTGGGCATGAACGTTTCCGAGGCATTGACGCTGGTCTCGAGCTGTCTGAGGGTTTCAGCCCTCAAGTTAGTTTAGGGTTTAGGAAGTTTAGGGTTCAGGGTTGAGGGTTTAGGCTCTGTTTGTCTCCGAGGACGCACGCTGTTGTGACCTTCAATGAGTGGGTGAACGCGGGCTCCGACCCCATCCACGAGCTCCCCCTGACGATCTTGGACACGTCCACGCTTGCCGAGGAGGACTTCGCCTGGGGTTCGGGGTTTAAGGTACGATAACCTAATTCAATATGTTATGATATACTATGGTTCTATGACATACGATAAGATAGCGCAATATTTTATAACATAGGACGATATACGATAATGTACTACATATAATACACATAGGGGATGTTTAGGGTTTGGGCGCCCCTTTGTCCGATAATCCGTGACGCAGACCATTTGCTCGGTGGAGCTCTCTTCAATTCGGTCGTTTCCCTTCAGCACTAAGATGGCTTGGATGCAAATCTAGTTTGTGCAGAGCTTTATTGCTGGAATCTTCCGGCAGCCAGTATCAAATTGTCAAAAGCGGAAGCAGCGACCTTTCCTTTCCTCAAAAGCTGCGACTCTCTCGACGTATACAAGGCGAGGCTATTACCGCAAATGGCACGCGTCTTGGAATGCGTACAAGCGCAACGTGGTTGTCGATGCCGCCCAAGCCGTAAATCCTAAAACCCTCAAGCTCTTGGTCCGCAGGATCTGGAGACTGCCTGGGTTCAGGCGTCTTTGGATTCCATGAGCCTGAGATATTCACCGAAGCAGAGGCAGCCTGTTTCGGGTGAGGGGATGGGGAGGGGTTGGTCTAGGGTCTAGGGTC